AAAACCTCCTTATTCTTCGTTTTCTTTACTAAATTACAATATTAAACATTTTATTCTCTATGATTAGAATACGGTCCAAGCAAAAGCGAACCCTCTGCCTTTGAGTCTCTTTCTTCACCACTAATCTTGAGCCCCTTCCTTGCCCGTTCTTATTCTTCACTGTAAGCCCCATTCACTGTGAACCACACTCTTTTCACCAGGATCCCCTCCCCTCTCTCTCTTCATTCTCTTTTCTTTCACTGTGAAGCTCCCTTTAACCTACCTCTCTCCCTCCCTGAAAAAGTAAGATACGAAATCTGAAACCACAAAAAGAATGGCATGAAGAATTGCATATTGGAGCTTAAAATTGGAAAACCAGTTTATTTGAAGAATCAACAAAAATCGCAGAAATTTTTTGCAGATTTGGAGATTCAAGGCAAAAAACTAGTGTGCCTTGTGGATTGTAGCTGGAAAAGCCATTCCAAGAGATTGTAGACTGTTTTAAATAATTTCAGTACTGTTTTATTAGTTTCTCTTTCTAGAAAACTTCACTCTACTGGTTTTATGGATCTTGGGTAGCTTTAGGGTGAATTTCTGTCAAAATACAAATAAGTGGGTATTTGGGGACGTTTGAGGTGATTTTCTATCGAAATTGTAGTGTTTTTCAAACGGATCTCATTGATTTTTCTGGAGAAAAAGGTGGAGCTGCAGTGAGGTGGGATATAAAGAGTTTCGACTGAACTTGAGTTTTGAACAGCCTCGGGGGTTTTATATGTGAGTGAAATTTAGGAGGCGGGGGTATCATTTTCCCTTTTTTTTATTTAATTTTAAAATAGCGATTAAAATATATGACCTGGAATATTTGAACAAAGGTTAAAGTTTGGTGCATGTTGATAAGGAAAACGTTTTTATGGGCTGCAGCCCCTCAAAATCAGTAAAGCCTCACGTCAAAATTCATCGAAGATTGCAGTTCTGACATCGAAAAACTTTCAAATCAATCGTCTCGGCCTTGATCATTATAGTTATTAAAAAAAAATAAGATTTCAATTCTAAAAAATAATGTATATTGTACACATTCATTTATACCATCTATTTCACCCTAAAAATAAGTATTCATAGATATGTAATATTTGTACCATTTTTTAAGCTCCAGATTTCATAGTTCATGTTGGAAATTGATTTTAGAGCCATTATCTAGATTTTTCGATGCCTAAAGTGCTTTTTGGATGAGGATTTACCATTCTTTTTCATAAGGCCAAGGCAAGCTTTTAGAAAACAAAGTAAAACCCCACATCGAAACATTGCCAAGAAAACACTTTACACATGGAAATCTTTATGATGGCTCTAAAATCAATTTCAACCACTAATTATGAAATTTATTGCTCAAAAAATGATATAGATCTTACACATCCATGAACATTTGAAAATGGGTAATCTAATTCTGTATTATATCATACATTTTTTTAGAGCTTTAAATCCTAATTCATTTCTACAATAAAGGTTTTTCGACACCAGAATTGCAATTTACACCATCTTATTAAATTTGATGGCGTAGAATATTGCTACCTTATTTATACAAGGAAGATTGTCGCCTTATACAAACCGCATTGTGTTTTAAAGCCCAACAAAAAAGTTTGAAGCTTAAAGTAGATTTTCTGATATTGAAACTTACTTTGATCAAGTCTTTAAAATTTGGGATTGTATATTATGAGACCATTTACATTTAGCAAAAGGATGTTACAATCATTTTTAGCCATTGAATATGAATCTAATATATTGAACCAGTGGTTTAAAAAACAGATCGGTGCCCCGGATCAGGCACTCCAAAAGCCCATTAGGATCGATGAATCGGCAATTCGGATTGGGAATTGACTGAATTGGTCTGATTAAGCCTTAAAAAAAATAATTTTTTTATTATTAAAATTCATTATAAATGTTGTTTTTTTAATAATCCAATAAAAAATACGGGTATTACATAATTAACTTTCTTTTCTTTCTTTTTTTTTATCAATTTGCGAATATTGAGATGTATGAACTTATGTTAATAATTAAATTTGCGTCACATAAAACAAAAAACATAGACTTATCATGGATAAAATATATAATCATACATATACTACAATAAATAATGGATTAACTCGATGAAAAAATGGCCACTAAAATCTCGAAGTGGCGGAAAGCCCTAGTCCGCTAAGAAAAAACCAAATTATTACAATCTAACTAATTATAATCCAAAATTATTACAACCTAACTAACTACATTATTATATATTTAAATCTAAATTGTTGGTTTACAGTTTATTATATAAATAATAACAAATTCAAAAATATCTTATAATATCATTTAATTTAAAATGTATTATTGATAACTGTAAGAAAAATAGTACATTACAAGATGTACAATGCAAATAAATAAATAAATAAATATTTAGTTATCAATATAGAAATTATTAGAATGTGCATCAATTTTCGAAATAACACTTCAATTTTTCAAAAATATAATTTTTTAGATTTCTAGTATAAATTTGGTGGAATAGATTGTTAGAGACGGATAGATATTTCAACCTTGTATGGATCCTATCTTAAAATTAATATTCCTAAATTTATGTAAAGATTGCCATATTATAAAAATAAAAATTATAATTAGATTAGTTATTCCTAGTTTGTATTAAAAAATATTTGTTGTATTAAGAAATACCTTTTATTGACAATAATACTTGTTGTATTACCTTTTTTTTTTTTGACGAGAAAATATGATACTTGTTTTATTACCTTTTATTTATTTTTTGACAAGAAAAAAAATGAGACGTTATATGACCTTTTGTTTTGCTTGTTGTATTACTTTTTATTTTTTTACAAAAAAATAAGAAAATGATGTTGCCAGTACCTTTTATTTTGTTTTTTTGACAAGAAATACTTGTTTTATTACCTTTTTTTTTTTACAAGAAAAAAAGAAGATGTATTGTCTTTTTTGTCTTTTAGAAAGAAATGCTTGTTGTATTATTATTATTATTTTTATTTTTTATTATTTTTGATGATACTATTTTCTTCTTTTTTTTCTTTTTTTTTTGAAGACAAAAGTAAAAACCTATTTTCTTTTTATTTGTATTTTTTATTTTTTATTTTTTATTTTTTTATGGCATCCCTAAAGCTCGGATTCAAGCTTGGGGCATCCCAAAAAGAAACCTAGTTGATAACCACCACAACCCATCACGCACTGTTGAACACTTGTCTACAATAACTATTTCTATTAAATAACTTTTTAACATTATATCATTTGGCACAAATCGCACATCGAAGAATCAAAGAAAGTTTAAGCGTTATAAATACCTGTACAATAGCATCAATGTTAGTGCGATCGAGAGAAGGGGCACGCCTGCGGCCTTACCTTTTAAATGAAATAACCAAAATATCCTCAATTTGTGACTCACACACCTTGTGACCAAAATATCCTTAGTTTGTGACTCACCAACCTTGTGACGTAGTCGCATGCCGTTTGGTATCATCATATGAACGATTCACGATTCAAAATCACCATTTACCGTTTGGAATCACAATTTATGAAGTTCAAAATCGTCATTTACTGTTTGGAATCGCGATTTATGATGTCATATGAACAATTCACGACATGTAATATGAAGGATTCACTGTTCAAAATCACGACTATTCAAAATCGAGTTCACTGTTCAAAATCGCCATTTACGACGTCATATTCACTGTTCAAAATCTCTATTCTCCTCGGGCGATTCCCGGTTTTATAAAAGAATCTTATGACGTCGCAAGCCGTTTGAAATCGCGATTCCTGGTTTTACAAAAGAATCTTGTGACGTTGCAAGCCCTTTGGAATCGTGATTTATGATATCATATGAAAGATTCATGATTCAATCTCGTCGATTCTCCTCTAGAATCGGGCGATTCCCGGTTTAAAATTGCTGATTCTCCTCTAAGATCGGGTGATTCCCGATTTGATAAAAGAATCGACATGGGTTGTCCGATTCCCGTGTCGACTCGCGCGAGTCCATTGCGACTCATCGAGTTTTAAAACCCTGGATTGAAGTGTATTACAACATTCGAGATTGTAACACATCCTGAACAACTTAATTTCACAACCAATGTTCAATAATGATTGTAACTTTCTTGTATAAAAATTAAGGTAAAGTATATAATGAGACCATTTACTTTTGGTACAAGATAGTCATGATAAATCTTGACCCATTGGATGTAAAATTGAGTGGCTGCATTTATTTCATTGACCAAGCTCAAAGTTTAAAAGTTTTTTTTCTCGAACTTTGTGACACACCTATACTATCAAATTTCACATAGAATAATTATAAGTAATTGTGATTTTCATATTTAAAAGGTAAATGGTCTCATTATATACAATCTCAAAAAATAAAGTCTCATTACTGTATATATTTCTATAAGATTTTATACATTCTTTTGAGATTTTTGCCTTGTATAGACTGCCTTTCTATTTGTAAAACTGCAAATTTTACATCAAGAGAAAAATAAATGGGTTATGTTAGGGTGCTCATACTATATAATATTTAACATTATACTCAATAAATTTGGACGCTTATATACTTTTATTTTGTAAATCAAGTTCGTTTTTAGTAAGGGTATTTTTGTTATTAAGAGATGTATGACATCATCTACATAAGTGTAACATCCCCTTATGGAGTATTAAATGTAACCAGTGTACTTTATGTGGGGTGATGTCATACTCATGATGATGTTATACACTTCTTAATGATAAAAATACCTTTATTAAAAAAAATACTACATATACAAAAACAAAAATATGTAAATGTACAAAATTTAGTGAGTAAAATAAAAGTTGCAAACGTGCGTGGGTTATTGGTGCAAAATAGAAGGTATCTCTAAAGCTGCGGCCGCGACAATTGCCAAGGAAAACCGCACCCGCAAGAAGATGGATGACCTCGTGTTTTGGGTAAATCATATGGACAAATTTACTAAAATAAAGATCTACCAACAAAATGAAGGAAAAATTAGACTGGGAAAACGGAAGAAAATGCGTTGTCTTCCCGGCACAGATCCAATTTGAAGACGAAGCTTCCCAACGGTCGGATCTCTATCGAACGGAACTCATCCTCCAACACAAGTCCAAGACAACCTCTTCCACTTCTGTTATCTGCTACAACTGTTCTTAGATTTCAAATCACCTCTCTTTCTCTCTCTAAAAATTCTTGGTACCTTCTGTCTCTCCCCCTCTAAATTGTTCTCAGATACCAATCAGTACCTCCTCTCTCTCTCTCTCTCTCTCTCTAAAATCTAAATTGTTCTCGCGAAATACATCTCAAAGTCCCAATCGATTCTCTCTCTCTCTCTCTAAATTCTTCAAGTACCAGTCAGGGAATCAGTACTTTCTAGTTTCTACTGCCTCTATTCCCTCATTCCTCTCTCTAAGTTCCCTCGTTCATCTCTTTCCCTCTCCTCCCTCTAACTACCTATTATTTCTCTCTCTACATATTACAACGCCTTTTCTCACACATCCCGAGGCAGCGTACGCTTGTCCGATCTAGGGCTTCCGTCTCTCTCTCTCTCTCTCTACTGCAAATATAAATGGATCGCAGGAGGGCAGGTAGTCCGATATACAACCGTCAAAAGAGTGGGAGCTCAGCATCAAGTGGTTCATCTTCTCCTGCAATGTCTCCTGCTCATTCCCATTCTCGCTCTGCATCGAGTGGTGCAGGGATCTCTAACGTTAAGAGAACTCAGAATTTTGCAGCAAAAGCAGCTGCTCAGAGGCTGGCTCAAGTCATGGCGTCCCAGACCACTGAGAATGACGATGAAGATGACGATCTCAATTTTAGATACAGTTCACTATACAGTGGAAACAATAACAGCAACAGTGGGCTCTCTTCTTTGAAGCCTACTCGGTCTCCTTCACCTGCGGTATTCTTCTTGGACTTGAATTTCGGGTTTTGGTGTTTTAGATCTTTGTGCGTATGGGATTTGGAGTGGATTTAGGGTTTTCCGTGGATTGGATTCGGTTGTAGGTTTTGATTATTGCATTTGGAGGGGTTTTTTTTTGGGTTTTCCTGGATTGAATTAGGTTGAGAGATTTGGTCTTTCTGATTTTGGTAATTTGGAGAAATTTTGGGTTTCTTTGGATGGTTAATGGAATGCAATTCGTCTGAGTCTAAGAAAATTGGGATTCTTGCTTTGAGTTCTGTTGAGGAATTCCTTGGTTTTGATCAAGTTCAAATAAATTATTAACGTTCTTGGCTGTATCTCTTTTTCAGTTTTATTTATCTGAATGATTTGATTCTTTTAAGATTATCAAAGTATAGTAGGATCTCGCGTGTAATGATATATTGGCTCATTGGTTCTGTTTGATTGGGGTTCTGATTTTCAAAGAAAGCTGGAGTTTATTTTCTGCGTGTGCTAACTATAAAAGAGAATGTCAGTTGTCTTCTAAGTAGCAAAGTATTTTATGCACCCTAGATATATGAAACTGGCTCTTAGGTTTGGACACCCTAGGCTTTCTGTATGAACAAACAATTTTACACATGTATAAGTGCAAAATGCTCCTCTGAGGGAAATCACTGAGTTATACAGTATTTCTCGTTGCAGCTTCATGTCTAGACTTCTGTGTGCTAAGTGTGAATTTGTTTTCTTTCCAAATTGTTTGAAGAAACCATATTTTCTCAACACCAAGATGTATTGATGCTCTTTCCTTTTCATTTTTGAATCCTGAACAAGTAACATTTGATTGGAATTACTTAACCTGATAAATGGAATTGAAAAGGAAAATAAGGGATAGGTGACAAATTACATATAGCACAAACTGACCTAATTGACTGAAAATGAGGCCCGGTTTCAAGTGGTAGGTCTTCATACTTTCTAGTACAGCAAGGAAGGCCAGCACTTGGGAGGTTGGGTCTCATGCTTGCTTGTTCAACAAGGAAAGTGAACTTTTGGGTGCTTGGGCTCTGGTTTGCAATCCTATTTGGTATTCTGTCCATGATTGCCAGGAATGTTTCGATGGTATACGACAATTGCAATTTGCTGTTGGGTATTTGGGATTGTTTAATTCTTCCCAATTACGTTCATAGTTTGTAGTTATAAGCTGGCCTCAATGACCTTCCAAGTGGTTTCATTGTAGGTCTGCATTCTTTTGTGAAAGGCAGATACCTCGTAAATCTTAGTAAACCCTTGGTGGGGAGTTTTTCCCTTAGAAGTGATGCTTTCATATTGAAGAGTGCTACTTAGATTTGAAAGGTGCATTCTTGTGTATATTATGTAGCACCTAATGGTCTGACAATCTGTCAGTTCTTTAACTGGTTGTTATGCATGGGAAATCTGTTAAACACTTATTCCATTTACCTGTTAAACACTTATTCCATTTGCCATTTTATTAATGGAGGGACTATATACCTTGACCTACCATTTAAACTTTTTTTTTGGATGTATCAAAAGTTAAGATAATAAATTTACCTCATAGAAGTTAGGAATATATTTTACCCGACAATATGTCTTGACTTATCGGTCAGTTTTTGCCTTTCTATTAGCTAGGTCGGAACTTTGCAGAACATACTCCATCTGTTCGTTCTACATCAGCTGGACGACCATCAATGTCTACTCGTACAACACCTTTGGTTCCCCCAAGTAGGACAACTCTAAGGGCACCACCAAATCTACCACCAGTTAAACTACCACCAGTAGAGCCTCCTTCTGACACTCGTAGAGATAGAAGGTACGCAATTGTTTGGAATGTGGAAAACTTATTTTGCTACATCATTTTTCTTGAGGTTTGGGTTTTATTTTATTTTTTTGGATGTAATTATCTCTATTGTATTAAGGTAAAATAAGAGGTTAGGTGTCACTGTTAAAGTAAAATAAGAGGTTAAATTTCACTGTTCTGTATACAAAACTGTGAGAAGGCTGTGTTCACAGCCGGGTAGAGAGAGAGAGAGAGAGAGAGAGAGAGAGAGAGAGAGAGAGAGAGAGAGAGGAGAGAGAGAGAGAGAGGGAGAGGAGGGGAGGAGGAGGAGGAGGAGGGGGAGGAGGAGGAGGGTACGGTACGTAC